CAAATCTATGCTTCCCTGGATGTCTCCCTCCCAGCACTGAATGGAGCTTCCTGTGGAATGTTGTGACAGCACAGGAGTACTGTGTACTGCTATGATTCTGTGATGCACAGGATGTTTCTGTCTGTGTAACTTTATCCTTTCCAAGCTAGACTGGAAGTAGCGAGGAAGAAATTCAAAAGGAAAGACAAGTCTGGGAAAGACAAGGCACTTTGTTCAAAGAGATCCTAAGGGAAAGCAACCACCTTGACTTCTAGCTCCAGGCAAGAGTGGTTTACTTCCCTGGTTAAACCTAGGATTATAGGAGGACATAAAGCCATTGCAGCTGCCAAGTCTTTGAGACAGCAAGACCTGACAGGCATGCTACAAGCATGCTGTGAGACACAGAAGGAGGGAAACACATACATCCATGTAATTTAACTGGATCATGCTATCTGCTCTGGTTCACTAATAGAAAAACTAGGAAAGCAGAAATAGTCAGTTTTCGCAAGGAATAGGAAAAGGCAGCAGAAACTGACAGGGGCAACCAATTCTATGCCACAAATAGGTGTAGCAGACTATTTATCCCTGTCAGAATTATCTATACAGGACGACAGGACTTCCCTTCCCTGGGTGCACCATGCTGGGCTCCAGTGACCAGGAAGGAGGAATCCCCTGGACCTCAGAGATGGCAACAACTGATGTCATTGATGTGATCCGGTTGAGTTGAGTACTCCCCAGGTGATTGTATATAAGGGTATATAATCCTTAATGTGGCAAGTGAACTTATCTTGGAAACGTGCCCACAGTGTTAAAATCTGTAAGGAAACTTCTATAGACCTGCCCAAGGAAATTTTTATGATAATTGGAGTAATAGGATTGAAAGCATATTAACAGAATACAAGAATAATAAGAGATGTGAAGTGGCTTAACTGTGGGATTTATCAGGCAAAATTTCTACTCTGAGGGATGAAAACAGATGCTTACAGAAGTATGTATAATACCTCCTATAAGTAACAGATCACTTAAAATTATTAAATCAGAGACAATATTGGTTAATGAGCAGGATGAAAACCAAGAGAATCAGGCTAAGACTGAGCTCATTACAAATCCATCTTTAAAATTTGTGAAAAAATCAGGTACAAAAGGAAAATACACAATTGCAAAGGTATAGCCCAAATTTACAGAGATTTAAACCTCATAGAGTCTGATAGCAGAAGTCTTGAGTATTGCAAATTCCAACCTCACCTAATTTTGCTCTGTTTGATCCTCTAATCCTCCCATGCCTATTTTTCCCTATAACACCTTTAATTCTTTCTCTGACACACTACTCCATAAATAATGTAAATAATGTACCTTGCGGAAATACACATTTCTCATAGCTCCTGTCATTAAACAAACACCTACACATCCTGCTAGGAAGCAAGAAATGTCTGGACAGGACAACCCAGGGTCAGACAGTATTATTCTAGCAGCACAAACACCTGTGTTTCTGAGGATGCTTGTATAAAGGTTCTGACCCAAGGGAAAATACACAGTTTCTAATGAGCTTGGACCCTCCTAGGGAACCTTAAAGATTTTGCCCTTGAAGAACAACAGAAATATGGACACACAGGATGAGTGAGGTTACAGTTTATGTGTCACACTGCATGACATCCTACCCATCAGCATCCCCCCCTTCCCAGTAATTTCAGTGCTAAAAAGAACAGTGCTTAAAAGGGGTCACTGTGGGGGAAGAGAGTTGAAATAGCATCAGAGATGAGCACCACACCACCCTAGAGTGCCAAAGACCCAAGATTCATTCACCAGAGCAGAAGGAATTATGTTTTAATTCATATTGAACATACTCTAAATTAACTGAAGGATGGAGTTGTTGGGGTCAATAGGCTAGAAATAAGGCACCCCCTCTGAGACATCATTATGCTCTTATGCATACAGTCACAAGCATAACTGAGAAATTGTAAGAGAGACAGTAAGTCTAAAATTCCTTAACCACTAGTTGACAAGTTGACAAGCTGACAAGACAGGAATAGCTTTGAAGAGAGTTGACTTGGACTTTGTAACTGATAAGAAGGGAGAAACAAGAGAACATAACAATTATGGATATTTGAGGGGGCCTGGGGAACTATGCAAAACTTACTAAGGAATTTTTAGGGAATGAGTCAAAGGTAAGGAAGAAGGGGAATCAGGGAGGAACAAAGTGGGGGGAAGAGAGGGGAAAAATAAAAGGGTCCATGTGTGTATAAGCAGCTGCTGGTCAGAACACTTGCCTGAAGGAGCCCTGTGCCTGATCACAGGCTATCCTATCTTACTAACATTTATTAAATATCTTTCTGTTTAATTTCCCCCTCTACCCCATGTGAAGCTGTTCAAAGGTCTAGGTGACAGCAAGTGGAGAGACCAGACTAACTTAATCAAATGCCAGCAATTCGAGTTAGATCATGGGTGATAGGCCACTTTTTAGTTTTTTAGTTTAACAACAAAGGAGAAATCCTTTGTGATCTTAAATTATACTTTGCAATTATTTTTAACAGAAGAATTGCTAGCCCTAACACTCAGTTGCTAGCACATGACAAGTAATAAATTAAAGAGAGCCAGATATAATGTACAGATGGACAGCACTAAATAACGCACAGTTTGGGTAATGTCACAGAGCTGAGTCAAACACCCTTAATACAAAGAGAAACAACTTGTGCTCCACTCAAAGGTAGCCAGTCTGAGTCTCTCAGCCAATATCTATCTCTCTCTTTATATAAATACATATAATATATAACATATAACATATAATATATAATATATAATATATAACATATGCAGTAATTCTGAGCCAGTCTGGCTTCTCCAAGGGAAAATTGAACCTCTTGATTGTTTATAGTATCAGTGAATGAAAAATTTAACAGAAAAAGTCAAGTGGATGAAATTGCTAGAAGCACTCAAAATCATTTAGAAAATATGTATTGATTATAGCTGTTAATAATGTTAGCCCATCCTTTCAATGTCATGTCAGGAATACATGTGAAACAGCACATTTCCTTTCCAAGGGCAGATACAGAATGATCCATCAGTATAGTTTCATAGATTAAACATGTTAAATATAAAGACTAACAGTTCGATTATAATGAACACCTTATTTTTCTAAAACATAAAAACTTGTAAGCAACCGTAGTTCTATGTTGGAAACTGTTACAATCTTAACATTTAAAATCTCTTGTCTAAAGTTAGGCACATTCATGTTTTAACTTCTAAAGAAGGACAGGCCCGTTTTCAGAGCTTTTGAGTGCTTGGAAACCTATAAAAGCCAGTGGGAGATGCCTATCCAAGAGCTGAATTTAGCCCAGTATATTCGATATTGTTCACTGACATAAGGAGGGAAGTAAAGACCGAAGAGCAGGGTCCGCAGATGTACCTCAGTTACTTCACAGAGCAAATACTCAATGGTGGAAGAAGGTGGTAGGGAAGCATACTGTGCTTCCAGATCAGGCAGCATGGAAGATGAAATTCACTTCTCTGAGGCCAGACTGTGATTGTCTCCAAACACGAGTGACCTGAGGAAAGAGATGATGGAATTAGCACAGTCCGTGTGCTTTC